TTTTTTTTTTTTTTGGGTTGGGGGTGGGGGTGGGGGGGGCGTGTTTACAACTGAGCCTTCATTGCCAGCACTGATCCTTCTCTGACAGTTATGTTTTTGTTCTTAGTTAGCCAACACATAGCCATGCTTGAATTACCAAATGCAAATTTCAGTCCTGAAGCCCAAAATCCCATGAATCACAAGTATGGTGATACGACCCATCTTCCACTAGTTCAACAAACGAGCATGTATGGATCAACCCAATAGTTTAAAAAACATTTAAAGTCAATGACATTAAAAAATTTATCTGAAAAGTGAGCAACTTCCAAGAAATCAAACAAAAACCACTTTCTTGCTGACAATCTGCCATCAGAAAACTGGTTTGCAATCTAGAAGTTGAAGTTTAATCTAACCTTGCATCCAAATATAGCAGAAGAAATGCGGCATTCGTATTTCAAGCACAAATCTTACCTTCGACGTCATAAAACTAATAGTAATAAAATCCAGAATTCCCATTCATTCCACAAAAGGGAACATATAACATTCTGTCAAAATGATAAAAAAGCAATTCTCTGAGAAGGGTGATTCTTGCTATTACACAAGCAAGCTAATTCTTGCTATTACATACTCCAAACAAAGATAAACAGAATAAATACCTACTGGCTACTGCAACTTCACTTCCTCTTTTTAGCCGGTGGTTGATCCTCCTCCTCTTCCTCCTCCTCCTCTTCATCCTCTTCATCCTCCCCATCCTCGTCCTCATCACCGTCGTCATCATCTTCATCCTCATCATCACTGCCATCATTTCCATTAGCCACAGGGTTATCCTCGGGATCCCCTTCTTCTTCATCGTCTCCCCCTTCTTCACCACCCGAGAAGTCTTCATCACCATCGTCATCATCTTCCTGACCATCAGCATCATCAGCGTCATCTTCATCGTCATCCTCTGTGTCACTTCCGTCTTTATTTTCGGGTCCAGGCTTTTCCCCTTTTTGAAGTTCGCTCATTGGAAACCTGCAGACATTTGTCGGCGTCATTTATTTTATATTTTTCTCACAGGGATTGTATTATAATGAAAAACAACAATTACCTTTTCTCAGTCAAGTTTGGTAATCCATCAACATTGTTCAAAAGAGTTTGTGTCTGTTAGCATAATTTCCACTGTTAGCGAAAATTAAACAACGAATCTATGGCCCCCATCATGAGAACCATTTATAAACGAAGTTTCTTAATGTAAAACATATGCACTAGTTCTACGTAAGCAGATTGTTCCAAACAGAAATTGATCCACAACACGTACAATTCGATTAATAAGTAACACAGCAGTCTGAGAAAACAAAAATGTCCTGTTATTAAGAAAATAAATACAAAACTCTGAGTTAAAAAAAATTCAGGTTGAAAGCACATTCAAGAGTCATTGCCTGAAAATTTAACATGTGGGAATGTAAATGCCAGGAATAGCAACCGCAGGGAAACAACTAGGGGGCCTGAGAAAGTAATTCCTTTAATAATAGATCAAGAAGAAGATATTAAAATGCAAAATAAGACAACAGGGACTCTCTGTGCTATAGTAAAGTCTGAAAACTTGGATTATCTTTACCAAAAAACTGAGATCCAAAAAAATTAAAACTGAATAGACTTGTGTACCAGTGTACCTCAGTGCAAAAAACGATGCACCAAAACTAGGGGTTATCTTCACCTATTCAGGGAATTTCTTCTTCTGAATTCCACTAACTCTAGCATTTACTTTCGAAAGCTATTGATTGAGATGAAAATACCAATCTTCCATCATACTGCTCAAAACTGTAAGGCTTGAAGTTTTTGTGTTTTCACCATCTTCTCAATATTATTCCTTTTTCCTTAATTCTTCAAAAGTAAACTAAGTTCCAAGAAAAACGGTAAGGGGCACTTTAAATCGAAAAGGGGAATAATGATATGTATTATCTTGCATAGATTACAAAATTATTAAAGATTTGATCTTAATGCGTAGCATGAAAATTACTATGCATCTACGAATGTGGACCAAACATTGTCCGTGTGCTCACGTGTCTCAATTTCTCCCTATATCATTCAAATATGTCAAATCCAAAATATTTGTATTACAAAATAGCAATGTAACGACCCATTCCATTCAGTAAAAACAATAGTAACACAGTAAAAATCAGATCTTTCACTTTGGTGCTTCTTTTTTTTTTCTCATTTTCACACAACAAAGTCAGAAATTTTCATTCATAAAGGGTTTAAAGGAGCTAAAAATTGGGGGGGGGGGGGG